CAAAAGAGCTTGCAATTGATAGTCTTCAACCTTCCTGGGCCGATTTTCACGCTTCTTGTCACTCAAGTCAAAATTATCGTCATTGAACCAGCGAAACCAATCTCTGCACGTTGTTTCTGATAAAGCATTGTCGCCAAAGGCCTCCACAAGCTTCAATGCGATTCGGCAGCCGATTTCTTCAAATTGAAACAGAAAAGCAAAGCTTCCCGCATATGCTTTTTTTTTTTAGCAAAAAACTAGACCTGGTTACGAAAGAAAAAATATATGTTGTTGAAAAATATATGAAATTGCTGATGATGTGCACTGATTAATGTTGATAGATGTGAAACACATAAAAAAAAGTGTGTTGTGTGCCCAGGGTACACAGCTTTGTACGCTCACTAATCACCTATGAGCAAACAATGAATTTAAGCTTATACACCTGGTAACGGATGTAATGAAAAATTATAGTGAGATTGTTAAAACATTAGGTGAGTATAAATTTAAATAAATTATATTTAAATGAATAGATTTCTTCGCAGTAGTATTAACAGTTATTTTACTATTTGTTGACAATTTTTATTTTACAGGTGGAAGTGAAAGATTCGGCACAGTGCATCGTTTTAGATACTGATAAAGTTCGTCGAACATACAAATTTTTATGCGCGTTGGCAAAAAGTATACTCATAGTAGCGATCGATTGGTTAACCGAAAATAACACTAAGAAAGAATTTATAGATTGGGAAAAGCATATATTAAAAGATTTTGAAATCGAAATCAGTTATGATTTCAAACTGAGGGAGAATTTTGATAAAGCTGGAGAGAAAAAATGCTAGACAGCTATATCGTTGTATTGACGCTTAACGTCGAGCCACTACCTATAAAAGAATTAAAAATTAATATAGAAATATTTTTATATCAACTTATATAAAATTTATTTCTATTCTAATGTTCTAGTATACAAATATTTATATTTGTATTCTTATAGATATAATATTGTCTTGTAGAAGAAAAACTTTATTACGTCCACCGACTAAATGACTCGAAAGAGCGATGATTTTATCTCGTAAAGAAGATTTGCCAAACGAAATTGAAAATAAAGGAAAGGGAATTTCCAGAATCGAAACTTATATTAATAAATAGCATACTTACTTAAAAGTTTCATAAATAATATAAGTTCTAAGACATTGCATCTAATTTTTATTTACTAAAGATAATAACAATATGTAACAGTAGAATTAGTTTCTTTAATTAATAACCAAAATTAATTAATTAATAAATAAAATAATTAATAACAAAAATATGCATACTAAATCCGATATTCATAGTCAGTTCTTATTTCAACATTTAAGTAATGTCTTAAAATGCAGCTCTGTGATCGGTTTATTACATCTTAAGACTGTACCTAAGTTAGTAAATGTAAGAATTAAGTTAAATATAAGAATCGACTATGAATATTGATCTGAGTATTAACAGTTATTATGTCAACTTATATTTGACGAAATCTGTTTCCTGTGTGTCTTAAAATATCAATCAGGATAAATTCTATATCTTCTACCTTAACAGTTTTCAGTATTTTAGCAAGAAACTTTTTGCATTTGGTAAATCTTCTTTACGAGATAAAATCATCGCTCTTTTGGGCCATTTAGTCAGGGGATGTATATAATAGAGTTTTTCCTCTATAAAACGATATCTATAAGAATATAAATACGAATATTATATATTAGAATATAAATATTTTATATAAGTTGATAAAAAAATATTTCTATATTACCTTTTTTTTTATAGGTGGTAGCCGACGAGTAATATTACACTCGTTATAATCGTAAATAAACCTTTGTTTCATTGTGGATGATGTGTTACGGAATTTAGAAACGACATACTCCTGCGCGTTCTAGAAGGCATTAAAATAAGAGATGTAGTTTCCGTACTTATATTTTGTTGTTTCTTGTTTCTGGTTCTCAATTCTTTTTTAAATATTTTCATCTTACTATCTTTTCTAATTGATAAATTCTTATTCCGTGTATTCGGAGCTCTTGCCATAATACTTTCAACTTCTTACGATCCATCTAAATGACTCTTGAGGCTCTTTAAGGGATTAATTTTCGGAGTTTTGTTGATTCATCTGTGTTTCTGTCCCTTTGGTTGGAGCTAGCTTATTTTTTCCTACGATTTTCCCTTGCAGTTACATCATTGACATGTGTTATGACTGATTATCATAAATTGCCTGGTTCGTTTAACATTGGATTTCCCAGGATAAACATTTCCATCTGTTCTCATATTTAAGGAGACCTCTTGAGTTTCTTCTACATAGTTTTAGATATTGTTTTATCTTCGGAAGACTATATTTTCAAAGATACTTTCACATAATCTTATTTTAGCAACATGTTCAAGGATATTCGGGGATTGCCTATCGGTTGTGGTTTTCATGGCATTTCTGCGACTGCGTGTAGAAACTAGACATTCCTCAGCGATAATTTTACGTTTTTGCGAAGTAGTTAGTTCCAATTTTTATCTATCACAATTAGAGAGATCTTTCTTTTACCGATAATAGAATTTTGTTTCTGACTGTAGATCTGGTTGCTTCATAGCTGGTTACTTCTATACTTTTTAAAGTTTTTTTCTGAAAATCACGTGGACTCTCGTCATTTTGTTTGCTGAAATGTATTATTCTTGTACTGATCCACGAATTTTTCATTTCGTGATCCGTGAGAATGTAAGAACCAACCAACTATAGTCGAGTATTCCCCTGTTAGAGGAAATTCCACACTTGTATAGTCATATAATCATATGCATAAAGAAAATTATTCAATCACATTTCTGTCATAAAGACGAACATAAAATACGATGATTTTCTTTATGCATATATTTATACGGCTATGTAAGTTGTGTGGAATGGCCCTTACAGTCGAACGACAGGAGAATGCTCGACTGTAGTTGATTCCTACATTTCGATTAAATGCTCGGTGGAAACTAATGATCATAAGACGGGAAGCACATTCATGTATAATGCACAGTTCATAAGGAAATCATCCAATCAAAATTTTCCTTTTTCGTAAAATAGGATGAAAGGAAAGATTTTGGTTGGTTCGCTTATGCACTACGTATTATGCATTATGCAAAAGTTTCTGTCGCGGCTCTAAGATTGGAGTCCTATAAAGTTCTGTATTTGACATGTATCGCGAAACCGCGTAACCGCGTAACCAATCAATAATCAGTAAAACTCGGAAATCATAAGCGGATCGTTTCTAATTGGTTACACGGTTGCGGTTATGCAATACGTGGTAAATACACCTTGTGAGACTCCAGCCTGAGGCTGCTTTCACATGCAGCGTATCTTACGTTAGCGTAACTGGCATCAATTAATCAAATTGTATCAGGTACGCGCTAAACTAGTTAAGATGATTTGATTAGCTAATGCAAATTATGCTGACGTAATTTACGCTACATGTGAAAACAGTTTAAGACGTAAACTTAAGCCAATCAGAATATTGCTTTAGGTCTAACATACATGGAAAAAACTTATTCATAATCTCGTAATAAGATGAATTCAACCGGTTGAAAGGAATTATAATAAACTTATCCATAAGATGACCGGTCGCTTTATGGAAGTTTACTATTATTCTATTCCTAATAGAATACGTAAATCTAAAGCAGTATCCTAATTCATCGGCTCATCAGCTTAAGTTCATGTTTTAAAATTACTGACCCAGTTTACACCGAGGTTTTAATCCTGATCAAAATGTAAGAACCAACCAACTGCAGTCCAGCATTTTCCTGTCGTGTAACAAGAGAATACTTGGCTGTAGTTGGTTGATTCTGTTACAGAAATTTTGTGTGCGGCAGCCCTAATACCTATTTTACAATAGTGTTACAATTAAGTTGTAAACAGTAAGAAATTGGCCAATCACAGTTGAACATGACAAAAATAATTAACTACGATTTGTTATGGCTTAGATCCTGCCACCTTATTATAGAATAAAGAGCGTTTTTATGGGCCATAACCGTATGCTGTGCCATAATCTATAAAAATTGACCAAGAGCTCATCTTAGAGCCCAGATCCAAACAAGAATGGATTAAAATGGATTAAAATTTTTTTAATGCTTTAAATTCATGAAAATGAATTGAATGGATTGAAACAGATTGGATCTGAACTGACACTAGCCGTACTTATTTTGTAATAAAACTTCAAAAATCGTCAAGAAAATCGTTTTGAAAAAAATTATAACTTAAGTCTAAATAAAAATCATAAATCTATTATTGATATGCTAAATTATAAGAATTGAATGGAAGACTGTAATGCATTCTGGTAGTGCTATGAAACTAAACTGCGTTCCAACAAGTACTTTACACAATGGAGCACAGTGTAATGTCTCTGTGTCCTAGCTAGAAAACAGCCGATGTCTACGATATGACTAATGTATATCGTTTTCGGCTCGATCGGATTTACACCAACTTGGGTTAGAAAATGCTTCGCTATTGGTTGACGTTATACGCTCTACCAATGGAGAGCACAAAACATCATTACTTCAATTCAGGTTAGTGCAAATTCGATCGGGCCGAAAACGTTATAGAAATGCCTTAAAATTTAAGCATCAGACTAGCTCAAGCAACAAGTTTATGACATGTGACGTCTACGGCTGCGGTCCACTTGATGGCACAAACTTAATAATACAAATGCTTTGAAGCATTTTTTGATTATTATATTAATAAAAAAATTCTTTCTTCCAATTGATCAATCAAAAGCTTCAAAATATTTGTAAATAGTACGATATGACAATGTAGAATTGCCTGGATATAAGAAGAATAATCTACTATTGATCAGTTTTCTACGACTTAAGACTCTACGATACGATTTTTATTGGGCATATTCAGCAGACTCAACAGTTAAGTGAGTGCTCACTGTTATTGATATATTCTTTTAGTTCATCTAATTACAATTTTAACTCTAGAAGAATACCAATAACAGCGAGTGCTCAATTAAGTCCGCTGAATGCGCACATTGTAGACACCGCATTCGGCGACATGAGCGCTTCCAATCGGCGACAGCATCTCTGAAAAATCTGGCAACTCTGGATTCTGGAAATGCGTCGCAAGCAGTTGCTAGTAAGTCATCTGATCAGACAAGATTTGTTATTTAGATCTGTTAATTCTAATCGATTCGACTCCGAAGACAGACTTAAGACCATTTTCGAAAAAGATTTGATTCAACATATACTTTACTCTTCATTTTCGTTTAATGTTTTCAACGGAATGTTCGCTGTTTTTGAGTGCATTAAAATTTGGAAGTCGCACCCACATAATATGCGTGTATAATAGTGTATATAAACTATGATATACAAATTTATACGTAAAAATGAATAATCGTAAGTGTATCTTGCAATTTGTTTGTGAAATGTGATGAAATATGTTGCTCGACATCACTCAAGAATTGTCGTGAATAATTGAGTGTGCTCTTTTTGTTGATTGATCATTCGATAAAATTCCCATGAAAAACTCGTTGGACCATTCAATTTTCTTCCTAATTTTGATGGCAAATAATGTGAATGTATTGTCTGTCGTCGTGACGTAAATCCTCACATTTGAACACATGAAAAAATATTTGCTTTTATGTTTATTTGACAAATCTCATTTTTGTCAATTTCGTAATAGAACATCCTGTATATTCCTTTAAAAGGAAAACTTAATCAATAATTCATTTTTTGTGTTTGAATAAAATGACGTAGATGTAACTAACAAAACATCAATTTTGGGATGTGAATTAATAATCAAAGGCTTAGACTTTCAAAAAATGGAAGACAATAAAGACATAAGCAGTAAGCAATTCGAGCAATTATAGTAGAGACATATGGTCTGTTTTCTGTACTAGACTTTTCTGCATTAGAACTCTCTTGTTTTTCACAAATATTAAATAAATATTAAATATATACCTACCTCATTTTAATTTCTAAAAAATGTACATTAGTTCAGCCACAGAAAATTAATCTATAAGATAATGACAATATTAAATACAAAATACAATATTAAATCCAAAATGTTGATTTACTTATTGCTTATGTCTTGCTGCTTGAATCATTTTGAATGCTTTATAGGCTTTCTATAAGCTTCAATAAGCTATTACTTAAGTGAGGCATAAGAAATTAATCAATCACAATTGAATGTAAGAAAAATAACCGATTATGATTGGTCAATTTCATGGATAAGATTTAAAGCTTAAGCAATGTCTTATTGTAGAAAATCCATTAATGAACTTTTTATAATAAGCTGTTATCTAATCTTTAAATCTTAAGTCATAAGAAATTGACCAATTAGTCGATCATTGTTTATAGTTGTGACTATATTTGTACAGCGTGATTTCACCAAAGTTATAACATCGATGTTATAAAACTAGCCTATCACAATTACTCCATTTTTCAGGAATAGTTATAATTGACTAGCTTCATAATATCTATATTATAATTTTGGCATAAACCAAGCCATTTATATGTAGTCTATGATTGATTAACTTTTTATGGCTTAAAATTTAGTTAATGGCTTATTGTAGAAATCTTATTATGATCGTGGCACATAAAAAAATAAGCAGTAAGCAGTAAGCGAATTGGCCAATTATAGTAAAGACCATAAGGCCATAATGTAAGTAGTAATCGATTCAACATGTTGATTTTCTTACTATTTATTGCTTATTTTTTTAATTATTATTGCTTAGTTTTTTGCGTACCATGATTATAACATTATATTCCAAACGGAGTTATTTTGGTTTTTTTTCTTAAATGTTAGCAGCCATTTAACTATAGTAGTATTTTGTATTGGCAAAACTGGTATACACTCAGAGCATTTTAAAGCTGTTGTATAAATCGACGTATAAGAGAAGCAGACTTTCAAAATGTTTTGTCCAAAATTTCATTTTTTTAGTTAGAGATGGCATTATGTTTAGTATTGGATAACTTGTACAAGGTCCGGCCGAATAATATGTAAAAGCGGGCACGACGTGATTCCTTATGAAAAAATAAAAAAAAACATGGAACAAAATTTTTCGATTTTCTGCTTAGTTTTCAAAAAAATTGAGTTTGAAAATCCACTGCATACGTATGCTGTTGCTGCTAAGCTACAGTTCGTCGAACGACGTTTAAAGCAAGTTTGTTGCGACAGCCAATCTGAAGCTTGCATTTTGAAATCAACATATATTGATTGTCGCAACAAACTTGCGATCAGCTTGCAACTAATGTAGAACCGACTTAATATTTATAAACAACTCTTTACGATCTATGATGTCGAACAGTCATGTCAGGTTTCATTCAAATATTATATATTAACAGTAATCCTCGAATTAGTGCAGCATCACTGTCTTATCAGTATAACGTTTAAGATAGGACCATTCATCTCATATTGCGTGATAATAGAATGCATCCGTACCATTTAACATGAGTGCATGCGTTATCAGAACGTGACTCTATACAACGAATGGCATTTTCATATTTTTATTTGAACGACATAACAGTAACCTAGTTTCCACGAAGGATTTAAACCGGATTAGAATGTAAGAACCAATCAATTACAGTCGAACAACAGGGAAATGTTCGACTGTAATTGGTTAGTTTTTTTTCTGATCCGGTTTAAACCCTCAGTGGAAACTGATCCACAATTTACATCTTTATTTTATGGACAGATGAGGCACAATTCATGATTCATGAGAGATGGTACTGTTAATATCCATAATACACATGTGTGGTCTTCTCAAAATCCATATGCAACGCGAGAATTCACTCATTTCCAACATAGGTTTAATGTGAATGGGCTAATCGATAATTGGACTTTTTGCCGCATATTCTAACGGGAGGAAGATATTTACATTTTCTTTGCGATGATTTGTCAGAATGATTTGTTAGATGACGTGCTTGTTAATATTCGGGAACGATTGATCTTTCAGCAGGATAATTTTTTCAGCAGGACTTTTTTTTTTAATTTATCGATTCCTTACACATTCCCGAAGTTTTGACATTTAAACACTCTGTATATCAGGTATTCAAAATAAAGCGATATAAATTTTTATCTTGGAAACATTATTAAGAAATTGTTCAGACAAAAGTTGTAGGATTCAAAAAGGTGTATTTACTAATCTGATCGGTTTGATATTGAGTTGCCAAGGTTACATCGATTTTTTTAAATGGAACACCCTATTTCTGTTTCCAGAATCCAATAGCTGATGTCAAAAGTTTTCCAAAACGCTATAAGAAAATATTTTTTCATTAACTATTGTATTTTTTGAGTTATAGTGTTTGAAAGTTACAGTATCGCCAGCGTTAGCATTATTCAAGGTGTTCGACCGACGGCTAAAATCTCTTGATGTTATTTAGGATATATCCTGGATAACATTTATCAAGATCAAGGCTGGAGATTCCTTTTATTTTCATTTTTGCACTAAAAATTCATTTTTATATAAAAATGAAAAGAGGTACAATGACTTTGACTTTGATGGTCTTAACGGACATTCAAGAGGTTTTAACCGTCGGACACCTTGGATAATGCTAACGCCAGCGTTACTGTAACTTTCAAGCATCATAACTCGAAAAGTATTCAATAAAAAATAACTTTATTATAGTGTTTTGGAAAGTTCTCGGTATCGGTTATTAGATTCTAGAATCAAAAATAGAATGTTCTATTTTAAAAAATCGACATGACATTGATCTGACCTTGGTGACCAACCAAGATCAAACTGATAAGATCATATCGAAATAAATTCTTTTTGAATCCTATAACTTTTATCAGAACAATTTTTCTTAATAATGCCGTTTCAGAAATAAAAATTTGTAACGCTTTATTTTGAACATTCGGTATTATATAATTTATATATATTTGTATTATTAATATATAATTGCATATAATCACATAGTTATATAATATATAATTTTATCATGTATTATATGTATATTATACAGTACGTTAGTTTATTATGTCATTTTATTAATTTTAAACACATTAATTTTATATTATTAATTTTAAACACATTGAAAATGTTAATTTTATTGAACAGAATTTTATTTGTTCATTTGACTTATCTTTTTTATATTTACTATGATCTTGCAGTACCTAATTGATATTTTAAATATTTTTCGCGTCACACAAGATATATTTCTTGATTTCATCTCGTATATTTTGATTCCATATTTTGACAGCTTCATAATTGCTTGTTAAACACATCCATATGCCCGTATCGAAGTACAGATTGATGGCTACGATTAATGGTTCTATTTCAGCCAATTACGATGGACTCGCATCTACTTGTAATTGGTTGAAGTAGAACCAAGCAACCGTCAATTGTAATCGTCAATTCATAGTCTGACATAGGCAATAGATAGTGGATCGCACTCTGAACAATTTTGCGAAAACCATCAACACCATGGTTTTCTGAAAACTATCAAAAGAAAAGTAACAATCTCTGTGTCCACGACTGTACGGTTGTGGTCAAGGCCCTTATTCTTGAAAAGTATCGTATACTTATAAAAAACTAGAAAAATACTATAGTATGCGCATAAAACTTATAGTAAATAGAAGGGGAATACGAACATTAAACGATAGAAATATCTTTCTATCCTGCTCAATGACTGTTCTTTATTCTTTATCTATTCGATTTTTTTGTTCTTCTTTCTCAGTGACTGTTCACTTACGCAGAAAGAAGAAAAATCACTGAGCAGGAATACAATCTTCTGTCTCTCAGATGTTGCTCACACTTTCCTCACTGCTTGGATAGGTTATTCGTTCCAATACTATAAGTTCTATGAGTATGCATTATGTATAGCATTTCACTCATTTTTCATATGTAATACTTTTCGAGAATAGAAGCCCAGAACGGTTGCAACACTTTTTTTTATGAGTTTCGGAATGTACAAAATATTACGAGAATGCGAATCTCTGCGTCTAGTGACCACTGAAATATTACTGGAACAAGTGCGATCCTATGCTGCATTTGTTAAGAGTGATCCGAGAGAGAGTATTCTAAGTAGTCTTCATCTTTTTCTAACCTATATTCAGTTATAATTGCGCGTGTGCAGTAGACGGTATTGCACATGCGCAATCAGCTAAGTATAAATTAGAAAAGAATAAAGATACCACTTGAAATGCTCTTTGTTGGATCGTAAAACTAGTACCAGCGCTCATTCCAGTAGTATTATATTTCAGCTAGTAAATGAGGTTTAGAGTATCTATCAGAAGAATCGTATACCTAGAAGAATATATTAGAGAAGTAGGCAAACATAAATATAATGTCTCAATATATAAGTTTTATAAAATTATTTATAATTATAATTTATAATTAAAATCTTATAATTTTTTGTTATTAAGAAAATTTAACATCCCATTAATTTTGATA